CGCGTCTCTCGGAGCTCCGAGAAGCCACAGCCATTATTACGGTGCCGAAACCTGGAAGCTCAGGAGCCTGTGAATGTTTCTGATGGGTATAAACAAGTGTACTAGCAAGTCTTTCCACCTTCTTCACATCCTTGAACCACCTGACCAGAATGAGAAGGTAAAACTTATAGGGAGCTGACATTGAAAAGGGGATATGGTTCAATCATCTCCTGTGTATGCAGAAGGTCCCAGGTTCAATCCCAGGCACTTCAGTAAGAAGAATCAGGTGATGTGAAATACATCTGCCTGAGACCCTAGAGATCTGCTGTCCATCAGAGTAGTCAGTGCTGTCCTTGATAGACCAATGGTTTAACTCTATAAGATAGTTTTATGTGTTTATGTAAAGTTAATAAGACACATTTAAGGATTATTTTGGCCTTTGTCCAGGCATGGGTTTACAGTTATCCTATCCCTCTAGCAAGAAAAAGGATCTTTCAGTAGAGTTAACATGTGAACATGCTTTATACTGAATGTGACTATTGGTCCATCTGGCTCAGTATTATCTAACAGCTCTCAATAGTCTCAAGCAGGGAGAGGTCTTTTTCGCTACCTGGGATCCTTTAAACTGGAGATGGTATGGATTGAACCTGGAACTTTCTCCATGCAAAAACTGTGCTCGACTATGGAAAAGCTCCCTGCTCCATGAAGGGCTTTTGTACCATGGTTGAATGATGCCAGACAAATCTCCCCTCTTAAGCTTTTTAAAAACCAAGCTCTATATGACAAGGTGAACTGTGCAACAGTTATTAAATGTTTCTATTTGGTGGGAATTATGAGAAGGGCAAACTAGTTCTAGTAATGCTAATCAGATAGAAAGCAACATGGGCCTTCCTGAACAGAACAGATTTTCTTCACACCTCCTTGCTTAAAACAGATGGAAACCTGTCAAGTTTTTTACTTCCTCCCTGCCCAAATGTATTTGTTTATCTTGATAACCTGGCACAATAAAGTGTTTTTATTTTCAAATTCATTCTATTCACTTTGGAGATCTGTATTGTTTCAGTGCCTGATAAAGAAGTCCCTTCCCCCCCCCAAAAAAAATGTAATTTTATGGAGAGAAATGAAGCATGTTTTACATGCTGCTTCGTGACAGCTGACCGTCATTCCCTAAATCCACTAATCCCCTCTGTAATCATGTCTTGGCGTGCTGTGCAAACACTCAGAAATAATTTTCGAAGCCCACTTTTTATGGTGCAGAGTGCATATAGCAAGGAACTGTATGATACAAAATGACTAACAAAATGTTAGGCTATTTATATGTCAGTGCTGATAACAACTGTCTTTAGCTAGCCCCCCCCCTCCACCAGCCTCAAAGAGAAATGAGGCAGACAGTGCTGTTCAGAAGAGGAAATGAATGGCATTCCCTTGTAGAAATCGGTAGGGGTTTTTGACATTTGACTTTTCTGCCATCATTTTTAAAGATTCTGCCTTCTATTTACTTGTCAGCAAGTACATTTAATTCTTAGATGCTGGAAGGAGTTTTTCATGTTAAGTAAGATATTGATATAACAAATGGCTGATTTTTGAAAAGACTGATTGTTGAGTTTTCAAGAGGATAAGGGCCCACTCCTTTCTCCCCCTACCCCGAGGAAACACCTGCTGAGACATGGATCTGGATGACTTCTTAGTTAGCTTCTACCTAGCGATTCTAAGATCTTCGAAAAAACTGATTTTCTTTTTTTTCCCCTGAACGAAAATTACATGAAGGGATTTGTGGAATAACCTCACATAGAACGGACTCACTTGACTATCCACTGTCAAGTGCTCTATTAACATACTGATTGGTTGTTACTCCCGTTAGTCTTACTTCTGCAAAATTATGACAGGCCACGCAGCAGGGAGTAAATGATCATTAATACCCTCTCCTTTGGGACACAATAAACTGCCTTTCACTTGCATACAAATAAAATACATAAAGCTTGTCAGGCAAGGTGACAGAAGGAGAAAGATGCTTCCCCCCCTTCAAAAACAACTTTGGGGGATGTGATCATTTAAGAGATTTTGGTCCTGTCATTTTGCCAGCAAACCTCTTTATGAACAAGCATCCCCTCCCCCATTCTTTCAGCTTTTTTTTTTTAAAAAAAATAATGTTTAAGTGTTATAAATGTTGAAAATTGCCTTGGTTTTACAAAAGGTAGTTCTACTGTGTGTATTTTTTAAAAAAATCTTTTGCAGGAATAAGACATTAAATGTCCAGGGCAAATCTGTGCAGATTTAACAATTGGTCCACTTTATTCAATAGGACACAGGAATGCAGACTTACATACTTCACTGACTTCTACTTCATGATTGTTCATGAAAAGTACGGGGTTCAACGCATGGAGAACTGGGACTATGACATGCGTTCAGACACGTTTATTGTACTTCACAACAAGACAAGGAAAAACGGCCTTGCAAGGCCAACTATATGCACTCTACCCGGCACACCTCTGTCCCCATTGGAGGGTTTGAATTTCCTGCCAAGGGTGCAATTGGTGGACTCTAGGTGGACTAAGATCCAAGTCACTAACAACATGGCAACCATATGAATTAATAACCCTCAAAACATCTTATATTTAACAATCTTGCTCAGGTCTTCCAAACTGAGAGCCGTGGCTTCCTTGATTGAGTCAATCCATCTCTTTTCCTGCTGCATTCATTTTTCCTAGCATTATTGTCTTTTCCAGTGACCCTTTTCTTCTCATAATGTGACCAAAGTTCAATAGCCTCAGTTTGCTCATTTTAGCTGCTGGGGAGAGTGCAGGCTTGATTTAATAACTTATTTTTCTTCTTGGTAGTCCACAGTATCCATAAAACTCTCCTTCAACACCACATTTCAAAGGAATCAACTTTTCCCCTGTCAGCTTTCTTCATTGTCCAGCTTTCACACACATACATAGGCTGCAGTCACACACACTAAATAATCCACTTTCAAACTGGATTTTGCCCGTTCACACAGTAAAATCCAGTTGCAAAGTGCACTGAAAGTGGATTGAAAGTGGATTATTTAGTGTGTGTGACTGCAGCCATAGTAATGGAAAATATTATGGCATGGATTCACTTGATCTTGGTCACCACCCATACATCCTTATACTTGAGGATCTTTTCTAGCTCCTTCATGGCTGCCCTTCCCAGTCTCAATCTCCTTCAGATCTCTTGATTGCCGTCTCCCTTCTGGTTGATGGTGGAGCCAAGGAATGGTAAATCTTGGAACAATTTCAGTTTCTTCATTATCAGCCTTAAAATTGTGTAATTTCCCAGTAGCCATTACTTTTGTCTTCTTGATGTTCAGCTGTAATCCTACTTTGGCACTTCCTGCTTTGACCTTCAGCAGTAGTTATTTCAAGAATTTTACTATTTTCTGCCAACAATGTGGTATAATCTACATATATATCATCATCATCATCAAGTTTATTGTATTAGCCATTGGCCATAACAAAACATAAATACAAACACAATCCGTATACATCACATTAAGTTATCCCTTCACTAACTTGCGCTGAATCCTAGGCTTAATCTTATCTTTTTTGCCGCCAAAGCAAACAGGGACATTCTGCTGGTAACATATACGTCCATATCAGAGAGCAAAAAAACCCAACCATCTCCTGTTTTGAGAATCCATTGTGCAAAGGTAAAATAGGGTATATAAATCTCTGCCTAAGTGATTCGTGCCATGAGCATCTCAGTAAATAGTGCTCAATATCATCCACTTCGCCCAAACTACATTGACAGATTCTTAAGGCAACAGGTAAACCCATAAAACGACCAACACAGACCATTGAAGGGCATATATATAACATTATTAATGTTCCTGTGACAGATTGCACATGAAAAGCAGGCTTTAAAATGCTGCTAGTTCAGAGAGCCTGGGAGGTATGGAGTTAATCTTCCCTTGAGTGGAGAGTTTGTTCGATAGGCTGCTCTCTGACTGGCCAGCATCAACTGAGAGAAAGTGTATCATCAGCTGTTCTGGAAGGAAAGGGCCTTTTCATCTGGATTCAGCAAGCCAGTGAGTCAGCTTCTGATAGAGAAAGAGATAACTGGAGTCAGTGGTTCTGACAGGATTAGTCAGGTTCTTCTGAGAGCAGAAAAGAATTGTGATTCTAAGTCCAGAAAGCTAAAAACTGCTTTACACAAACATCAGAACTGGAAGAGAGATTTGGCAAGGGTGACTGGTTTGCTAGGCTGTAACTACCCATCAAGCTGAACAAGCAAGGGTTATTGCTTCTTAGGGAAAAGAAGAATAATTCCTGCCAGTTGAAAAGGGGTTGAGCTCTGAGGAGAACCCTGGTCTGTGGTAAAGGAAATAAGCTTTAGACACCTCCCGAGTTAGTGGAAAACTGTTTATTTATTTATTTTTAAAGGAGAAAGTTATATACTCTAAGAAAAAGTGAACCTCTAGGAAACTCTATGAAGTAATATTGAAACTGCTGATATATACTAAGCAAAGTACCTCTCACTGCAAAGATCTAAAAATCTCTGAAAATAAGCTACAACACACTCTTGTTTATTTCAAGAATTTGTTCCTGTACAAAATATAACTTTTACCTCAGTACTTTTAAACCTTGATTTCTCTATATATTCCATTCATGTTAAATAAAAATCTTTTATTCTGTTTTAAAAGTTATACAGTCTCAAGTGCCATTTCAAAGGGGGGCAGATCAGTAACAGAAAGGAACTACATTTTGACAGGAAAAATCTGCCTGAGAGTTGGGAAGCAACAGAGGTCCATCATAGTTCCTTCCACCAATTTTCACCCCACCTTCATCAAAATCTAATCCCACTCTACTAATGATATGTTCTGCACACAGAGTGAAAAAATAGGGAGATTAAATACATCCTTGTCTAATGCCTTTGCCAACTGGAAAGCATTCTGTTTCTCCATATTTTGTCCTAACAGTAGTCTCCTGTCCAGAATACAGGTTGAGCATCAAAACAATCAGATGCACTTTGAAAAGTGAATGAACAAGAGATTTGCAAAGATGGACAATAGATTCCTGAAAATGCAAGATGAATTGACACAGGAGGTTAAAAAGTTGGATAGCTTTTTGAAGCAAATTTTAGGAGAAGTAAAACAGATTACTGACAAAGTGGAAACTTTAGAAAGTAAGACAGAAGTGTTAGATAAAAAACTAGAAAAAGAACAAGACAATTTGTTAGAAATTGGGAGCAAAAGGACACTGTTTGAGGTTCAGATTTATTCTTGAAAGTCCTGGGAACTGATCAAAGAAAGAATTATTAAAACATTATCAGAATTTTTGGAGATGGAAGAGAAAGAAATAGAAACTGAAATAGACAAAGTTTATAGAATAAATTCTAGATTTGCTTCTATGAGAAAGGTCCCAAGGGATACTTTGGTTCATTTTTTCAGGAAGAATACTAGATATCTAGTTTTACAACAGCATTTCAAAACAAGACTGAGAATGGATAACACAGATATTATTGTTATGAAAGAAATTCTCTTAAGAACCTTACAGAAGAGAAAAGATTACACCTTCTTAACAGACAAATTAAAACAGATCTCTTTTCTTTGGAACAAATCAGAAGGTGTGATCTTGACCAATAAACAACAGAGATTCATAATGAATTCTATCCTAAAGGTGAGAAAATTCTTAGAAAGATTTAAAAGTGATTTTGATGAAATGCAAACAGAGAATCCAAAAGATGTCACACCAGATCCACAACAGATACAGTTTGAGTTGAAAAAAGATGACTGACTTAAATATTGACTTTCTCAAATATAAAGTTGAAACATGGAGTTTAAATGTTTAACATGGAATATAAAGGGAGCGAATGCTCCTCAAAAAAGAAAAAAATACTCATATCAGAAAAAAGGACATAAAATATCTGACTTATGAATCATTGGGTGAGGAATTTGTATCGGTTGATACTAAAAATAAAAATGGTGCAGTACATCAGCTTTCTGTATTATACTGAGTTATACTGAGTTAGTGTGAGCCTATGGCTCACACATTTTTGACTTAGCTCAGGAAGGATGGCTCTAGATGCAGTAGCCAAATCGCTCACTCACAACTTTAATGCCAGTGGCTCACAAAGTAGAATTTTTGCTCACAAGACTCCATAGCTTAGAGAGAGCATTGGTTGCACCGTATATAAACCCCCAATTAAAACCAGAGTTGGTTCTGACTGATGAACATGGGAGATTTGTGGGGGTATAAATTAATTTTTGTGGGACTATGGTGTTGGGAATTTATGCTCCAAATGCGGTTAAAGGGGAGTTTTACAAACAATTAATGGACAGCTTAATGAACTTTTCATGTGAAAGTTTGTGTTTGATGGGTGATTGGAATGGTGTGATTTCACTGCAAGTGGACAGACTTTCTGGGGGGGAAATCACAAGGTAAATTGCCAAGAGTTTTTTTTTTTAATTTGATGAATTACTTGAGTTTAGTGGACATCTGGAGACAGAAAAATGGCAATTCTAAAGAATTTACCTATTTCTCAGAGAGGCATAGATCCTTTTCAAGAAAGACATGTTTTCATTTCTGGAGATTTGGTTACTAAGGTTTCTAAAGCAGAGATTTTACCAAAGACTTTTGCAGATTATAATCCTGTAACTTTGACTTGCAAAAGAAAATCCAGTACCATTAAATGAAGAGTAAATGAAGCATTGTTTTAAAAAAGAGACAATTGTAGAAGATTGTAAAAAGATGCTAAAAGACCTTTTTGAACTCAATTTAAATAAAGATATGGGCATGAGATTGGTATGGGATGCAAGTAAAGCTTTTATTAGAGGTCATTTGATACAGCATAATTCTGAGTTGAGGAAAAAGAGACAAGAGAATATACAAAACATTTTGGATGAGTTATTGTAGATTTTCTGGGCTGTATGGCCGTGGTCTTGGCATTGTAGTACCTGACATTTTGCCAGCAGCTGTGACTGGCATCCTCAAAAGTATAACACAGAAAGATGGAGTACTCTCTGTGTCAATGTTGTACCTCTGAGGATGCCAGTCACAGCTGCTGGCAAAATGTCAGGTACTACAATGCCAAGACCAAGGCCATACTGCCTGGAAAATCTACAACAACTAATGAACTCTAGCCGTTAGAGCCTTCAACAACATATTTTGGATGAAATTTAAAAAATGAGGGTGAATTTTAAAACTTTCTAGAAAATAAAAAGTATCTCTCAAAAAATAAGAATTTTACAACAGCAGTTATCTATATAAACAATAAGAGAAATGGAAACAAAATTGAACTATGTTAAACAAAGATATTTTGAATTTATAAACATACTAGGGAGATCAATACTCCCTCTAAGATGTGGAGCCTTTTGAGCAAAAATTCTACTTTGTAAGCTACTGGAATTAAAGTTGTGAGTGATTTGGCTACTGCATAAAATAGTTTGCTCTAGTCTAGAGCCATACTTCCTGAGCTAAGACAAAAATGTTTGAGCTAGAGGCTAAAAAAACTGTGAGCTAGCTCACACTAACTCAGCTTAGAGAGAACACTGGAGATAGTTGGCTTATGAACTGAGAAAAGAACAAGAAAAGAGAATGATTCTAACATTACAAGGAGGAGACACTGCATTAAAGGATAATATGGCTATTCAAAAATATTTTATAAATATTATTCCAACTTATATAGATGCAAATATGATAGGAAACCAGCCAGGGAGGCAGTGAGGCCCTCGGACGACCAAGGGGTAAAAGGAGTATTGAAGGATGATAGGGAAATTGCTGAGAAGCTAAATGCATTTTTTGCCTCTGTCTTCACTGTGGAAGATGAGAAGTGCTTGCCCACTCCAGAACCACTGATTTCAGGAGGGGTGTTGAAAGACCTGAGTCAGATTGAGGTAACGAGAGAGGAGGTCCTAAAACTGATAGACAACTTAAAAACTGATAAATCACCAGGCCCAGATGGCATACATCCGAGAGTTCTGAAAGAACTCAAATGTGAACTTGTGGATCTCCTGACAAAGATATGTAATCTTTCCTTAAAATCTGCCTCCATTCCTGAGGATTGGAAGGTAGCTAATGTCACTCCCATCTTTAAAAAGGGTTCCAGAGGAGATCCGGGAAATTACAGGCCAGTCAGTCTGACGTCGATACCGGGTAAATTGGTGGAAACCATTATTAAGGAAAGAATTAGTAGGCACATAGATGAACAAAACCTATTGAGGCAGACTCAGCACGGTTTCTGTAAGGGAAGATCTTGTCTCACTAACCTGTTAGTGTTCTTTGAGGGGGTGAACAAACATGTGGACAAGGGGTATCCAATAGATATTGTTTACCTTGACTTCCAGAAAGCTTCTGATAAAGTTCCTCATCAAAGGCTCCTAAGTAAGCTCAAAAATCATGGGATAGAAGGACAAGTCCTTTTATGGATCAAAAACTGGCTAATTCATAGAAAACAGAGAGTGAGTATAAATGGGCAATTTTCTCAGTGGAGGGTGGTAAGCAGTGGGGTACCGCAGGGATCAGTACTTGGTCCACTGCTTTTTAACTTGTTCATTAATGATTTGGAGATGGGAGTAAGCAGTGAAGTGGCTAAATTTGCGGATGATACAAAGTTGTTCAGGGTGGTGAAAACCAGTGAGGATTGTGAGGCACTCCAAGGGGATCTGTCAAGGATGGGCGAGTGGGCGTCAACATGGCAAATGGGGTTCAATGTGGCCAAGTGCAAGGTGATGCACATTGGAGCCAAAAATCCTAAATATAAATACACATTGATGGGGTCTGAACTGGCAGAGACTGATCAAGAGAGAGATCTTGGAGTTGTAGTGGATAACTCACTGAAAATGTCGAGACAGTGTGTGACTGCAATAAAGAAGGCCAATGCTATGCTGGGGATTATTAGGAAGGGTATTGAAAACAGATCAGCCAATATAATAATGCCCCTATATAAATCAATGGTGAGACCTCATTTGGAATACTGTGTGCAGTTCTGGTCACCACACCTTAAAAAGGATATTATAGCTTTGGAAAAAGTGCAGAAAAGGGCAACTCGAATGATAAAAGGGTTGGAACACTTTCCCTAATTGCGCTTAGGGCTCTTTAGCTTGGAGAAACGACGACTGAGGGGTGACATGATCGAGGTTTATAAGATTATGCATGGGAAAGAGCAGGTAGAGAAAGAGGTACTTTTCTCCCTTTCTCACAATACAAGAACTCATGGGCACTCCATGAAACTGCAGAGTGGTCGGGTTAGAACGGATAAAAGGAAGTACTTCTTCACCCAAAGAGTGATTAACACATGGAATTCACTGCCACAGGAAGTGGCGGTGGCTACAAGCATGGACGGCTTCAAAAGGGAATTAAATAAGCATATGGAGCAGAGGTCCATCAGTGGCTATTAGCCACAAGGTATAGATAGGGACTCTGGGGCAAGTGATGCTCTGTCTTCTTGGTGCTTGGGGGGGTCAACAGTGGGAGGGCTTCTAATGTCCTGGCCCCACTGCTGGACCTCCTGATGGCACTGGTATTTCTGGCCACTGTGTGACACAGAGTGTTGGACTGGATGGGCCTTTGGCCTGATCCAACATTGGCGTCTCTTATGTTCTTATGTTCTTATGTCTCATTGATGAAAATAGATGAAAATCTTAAAAAACAAAATTTACCAAAGATTTCAGAACAACAAAGACAAAATATGAATGGACCTATTACAATAAGAGAAGTAGTGGAAGCTATAAAAAGATTAAATCAGGAAAAGCTCCAAGACCAGATGGCTTATCGGGTTTGTACTATAGGTGTTTTGAAGATGAAATTTTACAACCTTTACTTAGTACAATGAACTGTAGTTTACAAGAGGGAAAGATGCTAGAGACTTGGAAAGAAGCTAATATAACACTAATACCTAAAGAAGGTCAACATTTGACTTCGACACCAGCAATTACAGACTAATCTCATTTTTGAATAATAATTATAAGTTGTTTACTACAATTTTAGCAGAAAGACTGAAAATAATCCTTCAAGAATTTATTCATGAAGATCAATGTGTGTTTTTTACCTAAGAGACTGTTGAAGAATAATGTTAAAACTGTATTGGACATTTGGAATATTTAGAACAACACAATGGAAAACAAGCCACACTAATGAGTCAATTGCCCACTGTGCCAGTGATATAGGGCACCGTGGTTGGAACAT